TTCTTCTTCTTCTTCTTCTTCTCCTCCTCCTCCTCCTCCTCCTTTCCTTCTCCTCCTCTTTTTCTTTCTTCTTTTCTTCCTCCTTTTCTTTCTTCTTCTCCTTTTCTTTCTTTCCTTCTCCTTTTCTTTCTTTCTTTTCTTCTTCTTCTCCTCCTCCTCTTCCTCCTCCTTTCTTCTCCTCCTTTTCTTTCCTTCTTCTTCTTCTTCTTCTTCTTCTTCTTCTTCTTCTCCTCCTCCTCCTCCTCCTCCTCCTTCTCCTTTTCTTTCTTTCGTTTCTTCTTCTCCTTTTCTTTCTTTCCTTCTCCTCCTCCTCCTCCTCCTCCTCCTCCTCCTCCTCCTCCTTCCCCCTTTTAAGAGTGAGGTACAGATTCCTCAACCCCAATATAGTTTATAAACAGCTGAGTCTTCCTAGAGTGAAATGCCTTTGGATTCAGCTCAGCCTCTTGTGATTGCGGGGAGTCCTCGAGTTACAACCAGAATCGGTCCTAGGTCAGTTTTTTCGGTGCCATTGTGACTTTGAATGGTCGCTAAACGAATGGTTGTAAGTCGAGGATCCCCTGCACGGAGTTTCTCCCTCTTTTCGTTCTTCTTGCAACCCGCCGGTAGTGAGACGTTCGGTTGAGACCTTCCGCTGTGGCTCCTGGGACAGTCCACGCTCTATAATGAAGCCTCAGAAAAATGTCTTCTAGAGCTTAGATATAGATATAGATATATAATAATGAGCGAAAGGGGCTCCAGAAATAGATACCCACTCGTGGAATTTCCTAACTGCAGGAAGGAGCCGGGTCTGATTGGGGTCTCTGGGTTTGTCTTCCCAATTGATGAGGGTCTTGGGCTATTTTAGGAGGGAGAAGCTGAAGGCAAAAAAAGTCTCCTCTCCTTCCCAAGTTGGTCGTTCCCACGAGAAGCCCCTTCGGTGGGGAAACAACGCTGCCCAATAATCACAGATCCACTTTGGTTTAGTGCTTAAGGCACCAGGCTAGAAAGCCAGAGGTGGTGAGTTCTAGTCCTGCTTTAGGCAGAAAAGCCGGCTGGGTGACTTTATTATTTTATTTCATTTATTAGACTTATATACCGCTTCGTAGGGCTTTCAGCCCTCTCTAAGCAGTTTACAGAGTCAGCACATTGCCCCCACAGTCTGGGTCCTCATTTCACCCACCTCGGAAGGATGGAAGGCTGAGTCAACCTTGAGCGGGTGAGATTTGAACCACCGAACTGCAGAACTGCAGTCAGCTGAAGTGGCCTGCAGTACTGCAGATGGGGAGTTCTAGTCCCACCTTCTTCATGAAAGTCGGCTGGGTGACTGGGCCAATCACCAGGAGATGGGGAGTTCTAGTCCTGCCTTAGGCACGAAAGCCGGCTGGGTGACTTCAGGTTAGTCACCAGGAGACAGGGAGTTCTAGTCCCACCTTCTTCATGAAAGCTGGCTGGGTGACTGGGCCAATCACCAGGAGATGGGGAGTTCTAGTCCTGCCTTAGGTGTGAACGCCGGCTGGGTGACTTCAGATTAGTCACTAGTAGATGGGGAGTTCTAGTCCCACCTTCTCCATGAAAGTCGGCTGGGTGATTTTGGGCCAATCACCAGGAGATGGGGAGTTCTAGTCCTGCCTTAGGCGCAAAAGCCGGCTGGGTGACTTCAGGTTAGTCACCAGGAGACGGGGAGTTCTAGTCCCACTTTCTTCATGAAAGGAGGTGGGACTAGAACTCTCGATTCCTGAGTGTGAATCGAACTCCCGTTTCCTGAGTGTGACTCCTCCTCTTCCTCCTTTCCAAGGGCCTCCAGAGAAGACGGAGCAAATCCCCGTGGAGAGCCGCTCCTGCGTCCTCATCCGGCGTGATCTGGTAGCTCTTCCGGCCAGCCTGATCAGCCAGATTGGTTACCGCTGCCACCCGAAGCTCTACTCGGAAGGCGATCCTGGAGAAAAACTTGAATTGGTTGCAGGTATTTATGAGCAGGGCCCACGCCTGGGCGCAAAACGAGCCCCCCCCCCCTTTATGCCAGGAGCCCCGTAAGCATTAAAAGGACATCATCATCCTCAGTAACGGCAGATAAAAGCCTCAAACTCGCAACGGGTGGGAAATCCGGGAAATTACAAGCGAGCGTACGATCTCGGTGTTGCAGTCCAATCTTAGTTGTAGGAATCGACTGGAGGGAAGCAATGGCTTTTACGTCAAGTTTATTATTGTTACTATTATTATTATTATCTCTTTTATTCATAAACATGAAACTGAAGACAAATGAACATTCAGAAATGCGTCACAAATACCATTGGCCGGTGCTGATGGTTGATACGGGTTGCTGCCAGCGTCCTAGATATCAACTTATTATTATTTCTTTTATCTATTAAGCATGAAACTCAGGCAAGTGGACATTTAAAGATGGGTCACAAATCCCATTGACTGGTGCTGATGGTTGATACGGGTTGCTGCCAGCGTCCTAGATATCAACTTATTATTATTTCTTTTATCTATTAAGCATGAAACTCAGGCAAGTGGACATTTAAAGATGGGTCACAAATCCCATTGACTGGTGCTAGTGGTTGATACGGGTTGCTGCAAGCATTCTAGGTATCAACCAAGTATTATTATTATTTCTTTTATTCATTAAGCATGAAACTCAAGTCAACTGAACATTTAAAAAATGTGTCACAAATCCCATTGGCCGGTGCTGATGGTTGATACGGGTTGCTGCCAGCGTCCTAGATATCAACTTATTATTATTTCTTTTATCTATTAAGCATGAAACTCAGGCAAGTGGACATTTAAAGATGGGTCACAAATCCCATTGACTGGTGCTAGTGGT